TCAACAGTGCAATACCATGTAGTTCTTCAATAGTTAACATGCACATAAATAATATGTGCCATTAAAGCTATGTAAAATGAAACCTCATTGAAGGTCTTTCCACATACATGAATTTGCTTTTATACACTACTAGCAAATGTTCCTACTGTCACAAAAGTTAGAATAGCCCTTAGTTTGGTAAACCAAAGCATATATAATAAACAACTATCAAACCTGAACATATTATGTCTGCCTCCTCTAACTGTAAGCCATTGCTTTGGTAACCATCAGGCACACTTCATGGCATGAAACGCCCCTATAACAGGAAGAGGACTTCTATAACATGGTCACTTTATTGAATTACTGGGAAATATACATTTTGATACCTCAAATGTTAGGCCTTTTTCTGGGTATATTTAACTCACTGATTCCAAAAATAGTACCAGCTTTCCCCTAACATCTCTAGTTTTTGAGATACAAAACATGTGTCATATACAAGCCTTTATCTTCTAACCCATGGAAAATTGTGATAACCATACCTAAGAAGAAAGATCTGGTGCAGTCTATCCACCACAATTTTCTGAATCAATGCCTCAAATAACCTCAGCAGATAACAACTGAGAAAGCCACTTTACATGACTATACACTGGATTAAACAAACACATGAAAAAAACTCAAATCTTGCAGTACAATTTGGGCTTTCCCCTGCATTTGGGAAGTGGAGACACCCGCTGTCAGGCATGTAGCCGGGGAGGGGGGGCTTGAGGGGTTCCAGCCCCACCCCCCAAATTCTCAGGGTGGTCTGTGAGAAGGCCTTGCTGGTATATTATTTAAACTGTTATGTTTATTCATATCCTGATCTGATCACCATGCTCAGTATATCCCATATGCATGGGGCTATTGGTATAATGATACATAAGGTTTGCTAGGGTAGATCCTCAGCACCCCCATTTGAATCAAACTCACCCCCCCCCCCCGGCAAATCAAACTCAGCACCCCCGAATCAAAATCCTGGGTACGGGCCTGCCCGCTGTCGATTCCTATGCAGTTGGCAGTGGACATCTTGACATCCATGGCCTTTCCCCATTCAGTTCTTTTAAGACTCCTTCCACACAACTGAATAAAATTCCACATTTTCTGCTTTGAACTGGAATATATGGCAGTGTGGAGTCAGATAACCCAGTTCAAAGCAGATATTGTGGGATTTTATGCCTTGATATTCTGGGTTAAATGGCTATGTGGAAGAGCCCTTAATTTCAAGACAGTGTTGTCACCTAGAGTTTAACAACTTGTTGCAAGGAATTAGATTAATGGAAAAATGCCTCTAGAACATGGCCATATAGCCCGGAAAAACCTACCACAACCCAGTGATTCCAGCCATGAAAGCCTTCGACAATACATTGAACATTCATCTTGTTTACATCACCTTGGAATGAGCAAGGGAAACAAGATTGGCAGTTTCAACCTATGTCTTTTCTTACTAAATTTGCCAAAATATGTTTGGGGGCATTTTAAGGTGAAATAAATGAAAGCTGAAAACTCTCTACTTTCTAATGCACTGTCTGTCTTAAAAGGAGTTTTTCCTTTTTGATGGAAATATTGCAGGCCATTAGTTTAGAATTAAGGCTGGAGATCTTATGAAAAATAGATGTATACAAACATATGCGTGCAAACACACAATATAGGAATGACTGAATCTTTTTGTACATACAGGACAACATATTTATAAAAACTCAATCACATGTTTAAACTTAAAGGACTATATATTATACACAACAAACATGGGATGAATAAAGAAGCCTGTCTTCTTTATTCTCTTCAGGTGTGCTGTACTACAGTTCTCACACTCAATGACTATGCTTGCTGGGATCGTAAGAGCTGTTGCACAACCTATTATTATTATTATTATTATTATTATTATTATTATTATTATTATCTTTATTTGTACCCCACTAACATCTCCCGAAGGACTCGATGCGGATTACACAGGCCAAGGCCTCAATAAAACAACAGCATAACAAACACATAACTTAAGCAAATCAACATTAAAACAAAAGCAGTAAACAATAAAAACAGTACGCCATGACACAATAAAATTAGGGCCGGGCCGAATGTAATGGGTACAGATTAAAAAGTGCTGGGTGTGACAGGTGGATGTAGGACCTCAGGATAAGTGCAATGTGCAGACCATCTTAAACTCTGATAAAGTGCTTCTGGGACATATTGCTGGAGTTTCCTATTCTGGAAAGGCACATCGGAACAGCCAGATCTTCAAACTCTTCCTAAAGACTGCCAACATAGGGGCTTGCCTGATGTCTTTGGGGAGGGTGTTCCAAAGTCAGGGGGCCACCACAGAAAAGGCCCTGTCCCTTGTCCCCACCAAACGCGCTTGCGACGCTGGTGGGATCGTGAGCAGGGCCTCTCCGGATGAGTGAAGAGAATGCGTGGCCACTAGATTGGGAAGTTTTAATGTGAGAGTTAAAAGTTGTTTCCCATTTTTCTATGCCTGAGGGCTTGTCTACACCAGCCACAAAACTCAAAGTTGGTCCCTTTTGAACCTGCTAGAACGTTAAGGTTATCTGGGGAAGCCCTGCTCTCGATCCCGCCTGAGTCACAAACACATTTGGTGGGGATGAGAGGCAGGGCCTTCTCAGTGTGGCCCCTTGGCTATGGAACGCCCTTCCTGGGGACATTAGCTCACCCCCCTCCCTCTTAATATTTTGGAAAAGAGTCAAGACTTGGTTGTTTGAGCAAGCATTTGAAAATGCAAGGTAAAAGACATAGGAGTTTGAACGACTGGACAACAAGATGGGATAATGTTTTTTTATTAGGAGACACAAATCTATATTTTTAATACTCTTGTTATAGTTTTATATTATGTATTAATGTTTTTAAATGTTTTATGGTGTTTTTGGGCATCGAATCGTTGCCATTGTAAACCGCCCTGAGTCACCTGAGGGCTGAGAAAGGCGGTATACAAATACAGTAAATAAATAAATAGATAAATAAAAGCCATTCCTAGATTTCCAAATGATGTCTAGGGACTTTTGGTCCACAACATGGGGTAAACCATGGTAAATTGGTTTAGCTCCACACTAAGGAAAGTCAGGGAATGATCTGGAGTTTCAGCAAAACTCTGCAGCAGCCCCACATGTTGTACAGAATGTGGGTAACAGACCAGCTCCAAATGAACTGCTCTGACATGCACACGGATCAAATCCTTGTCACTCCTGTCACCATTGCAGACTGCTGTGGGGCTCTGGGAGACCTCCTAGCTGTTGCACCCACATGACCAAGGAGAAGGAGAGGATATTACCACATCTGTAACTGCTAGGAGCTCCCTTGGAGCTCTGTGGCCATCTGATGCAGTGACAGTGACAGGAAAGTAAAGCAGACCTAAAGCTTTGCAGCCTCTGGGGCCAATCTGGACATTTTTGCTCTGGATGATTTTGAGATAATTAGTCAGTGAATACAAGTCCTTGGTTTATTATTCCTGGAAATCGTCCACCAATATTGTACTAGAAGCAAAGGTATTAGGAGCCCTGTAATGATAGACAATTAAAACAGTAAATATGTTACCCCGACCACAATAATTCAGGTATAAATTATTTTGCTATGATTTCCTTTAGCACTGCTCCTCTTTCTTCTCCTCCTGCTTCCAGTAAAACCAGAGTAAAGTGATTTAAGAAAATATAAGAGAGTTATACGGTGCAATCCAAATTCCGCAGTGGGCTATGGAAAAAGAATGAGAAATTTGTTTGGCCTAGATATTTATGCAAACTGACTCAATATGAACTTTATGAACTAATATGTCAATGTGAACATTTATAGCTATGCTGCATATTTTCATTTTTTTTAGTTTTAGAGAAAATCTATACAAAGACTTTGTGTTCCCATTGTTAGTCCAAGCAGAATATTCTCACTGAGAAAAACAGAACTTGTGAGGTGAATACTTGTGTAAGTTCTGTTGATCCATGTGTGTACCAAGTGTAATTCCTAAAGGCTACCTAAGAGTTTTATCAACTCTTTTATCAACTTCCTATTTGTGGGTAAATATCTATTTCCTTGTAATGATGGCATTTTGCCGGCAGAAAAATGTGGTTCTAAAATAAGTAATTGTCCAAAGAACTTGTAGGGGCATTGGAGCAGCAATTTTCCATGCACTGGAAAATATAGTTACCAAATACTAGGTAGAATTACCTACTAATGTATTGTCGAAGGTTTTCATGGCTGGAATCACTGGGTTGTTGTAGGTTTTTCGGGCTATATGGCCATGTTCTAGAGCAGTGGTTCTCAACCTGGGGTCCCCAGATGTTTTTGGCCTTCAACTCCCAGAAATCCTAACAGCTGGTAAACTGGCTGGGATTTCTGGGAGTTGTAGGCCAAAAACATCTGGGGACCCCAGGTTGAGAACCACTGGTCTAGAGGCATTCTCTCTTGACATTTCGCTTGCATCTACTACTGCTCAGTTCTGGATCTATGACATAGATTTTGGCATCCCAGTTTCTTGATAAAGCCATTAAAAGAGTTGATAAAACCATTAGGTCTCCATTAAGAACTGTGCTTGGAACACAATTTATCATTAATCATTGTTGTCTTCACTGTGAAGAAAAAATAGACTAATATTTTCCATTAATCTCAACAAACTATTTGGAGTAGAAGTATACTTTTATACTTGTCTAGTTTGCATCCTAGACAAAGGAATAAAGGAGGCCCTAAGAAACATCAGTACAAGATTTACACATTCCTGATTATTAAGCCAAGTACTTCTGGATTTTCCTGCAAATGAACAAATGATGTGGGATGCTGCATTGCTCTGCTATTGTCAGTTTCACAATTACAGATAGCAACATACATCATAATGAAGTGAAAGTGACTCAATTATGTAACCATTGTATGAGAGTGAAAGCTGCCAGAAACACAATTATTATAAATTAGTTGAAGTAAAAAAAAATACATTCACTGGAAAGATTTGAGGAATGTCATTTTCACTTGTTTGTTTATTTCTTTTCTTTCTCTAGGCTGTGGAAACCAACCTAGCTTCAAAGGATAGTCACTGGGTCTATGTAAATGAGGTAAGAGTACGATGATACATGAATAATGAGTTGTCTATACATTGTTATTCTTCTTCGATTCACTTTCCTCCTACTTGCCAAATGTCTCTTTCTTTTTGTGTCTGAGGCTGGAGGCAGACAGTTATCAGCAGGTGGAATGGAATCACTCTTTTCTATGGTTTGCATATTCAATTCTTTTGTCCCATTGTTGTCTCTGGTCAAACATGTTTTGCTAGTGTTGGGGAAGACATTAGTTGGATTTGTCATATGCAATGTAAATGCTGTTCCGGTACCTCTATTACTGACAGCCAAATAGAATGTATGCTGCCTCAACAATCCTTTTGTGAAGTGTGTTGTAAGTTGTACAGGAGAAAAGATCCACAAAATCTTGGGATTGCTTTTGATGCCCATGGCTAAAAATGTGTATATTTGAAAACATTCACAAATATGCTTTACTCCATGCCAAAATATATGTAGATATTAGGCTTGGTTGATCTGGTTCGGAAGTTTCTAAAATCGAAATGAATTTGTATTTAAGTGATTTTAGAAACACTTTCGAGCCATGCTGGAATAGTGTAAGGAGTAATTACGAATTGAAACAATTTACCCATTTTTTTGGAATTATTTTCATATGTCTGGTGCAAACTTTGCAATCTCGCAGTTTCCCTTGCCTCCCTGGGGATGCGGCAGGGCAAGGTGGGCGTGGCTACGCCCAGTTCTTCCTGAAGGCCACGCCTCCAGTGGCCGTCAAGGAGTGCTGGGTGTAGCCATGCCCACCTCGCCCTTCCGCATCGCCGTTTGTTACCAGGGAGGCCAGGGAAACTGTGAGATTGTAAATCTGGTGCAAACTTTACAATCTCACAGTTTCCCTGGCCTTCCTGGCAACAAGCGGCAATACGGAAGGGGAAGTGTGTGTGGCTACGCCCAGCTCTTCCTGAAGGCCATGCCCCCAGTGGCCATCAAGAAGAGCTGGGCGTAGCCATGCCCACCTCATTCCCCTGCCTGCCGTCCATTGCCATTCAGTCACCCAGGGGAGGCAAACTGCGAGATTAGTTTTAAAATCTCGCAGTTTGCCTTTCCTGGGTGACTGAATGGCGATGGATGACAGGGGAATGAGGTGGGCATGGCTACGCCCAGCTCTTCCTGAAGGCCACGCCCCCAGTGGCCTTCAGGAACAGCTGTTCTTACCCACGTCCCACCTTGTCCCTATTTGCATCGCCAGGCATGCAAAGCCGCCGATGCAAAAAGGAGGTTGCCATGGGAAAGAACAGCTATTCCTGAAGGTCACTAGGGACTTGGCCTTCAGGAAGAGCTGGGCGTAGCCACACACACCTCGCCCTTCCGCATCGCCGCTTGTCGCCTGGGAGGCCAGGGAAACTGCGAGATTTTAAACTAACAGGGGGAGGGACACCTTCCATTAACGAAGTAAACAAAGCTATTCAGATTTTTTGCTATTTCTGATCTTTTTTTCAAGAAAATTTGAGAAATAATTTAAAAATCGAAACTCCAGCACCGCCTATATACGAAACGAGTTTAGAACCATTTTTTTTCTTGATCAACCAAGCCTAGTAGATATGTATATAGGTGAAGGCACAAAGAAGAACACGCATGTGTTTTTAATATACCAACATGGACATGGGATGGAATGAGAATGTCAATGAGAAACTGAGGCACTCTCTGAGCATGAATCTGATAGTTATGTTGCAGGGATTTTTTTTAACAGAATAGGAATGGGAGCAAAAAAGAACTGTGATGTTTGAAGGCAGACCATAGGACAGGAAAAAAAAAACAGATTACACAAATATAGAATGGGAAGTTGATTTCTGTGGATTTGTGTGTAGGACAAATTCCTCCAAGTTGGTTTTTCAGGATTAGTTGAACAACTGCAAAACTACTCTCTTTCCATCAGGATTAAAATCCACTTTTACACAATTTATTGTACATTTTATGAATGATTTAAACAATTATTTAAATGGTTAAAGGCCAACAGTGTTAATGGGTTGGATATAGAGTAATTGTTCAAGCTATTTGAATTTATTGTTTTAGGAGGTGACTGGAAGTCATTCTTAGTAATTTTAATTGATCTCTTTAAATTAATACACCGTGAAAGAGGGTGTTAATGAATAAAGTGACTATGAGCTTGTACTTTTAAAATGCATACATTTATTTCCAAATTGATCCAAATGACTTATTTTAAATGTTTTTTTTCAAAAACTAGTTCGAAGTTCACATAAGTTATGTTAAACTTAGTCTTGTGGACTAAGGACTTTATCACGTGGGGAAAATTCCCCATCATAAAACACTTTGCCCTTGCAACCAGCGCAGAGCTCGCTGGATCTCAGCACATGACGCACATCTCCTTCCAATAGGGCTCTGTGCCAGTTGAATCAATAAAGTGTGATATGAAGGAGAAATCTCAACTTGGGAGACTACCCATGTCCAGATAGGAAATCCTGGAGACCAAAAAGGGAACATGTCAGAAAGGTATGATTTCCGGCATGTGATGGGAAAATGGGTGATGTGGACAATGTGAGGTGCTGGGCAATGGATTCAAACCACTATGCCACAATTTGTCCCATTGCCCCACTATTTACCCCTCTACCCCACATAAAGGATCTCCCTGTGGTCCTAGGTTAGAGACAACAAAGAGTGTGTCTACGTGATATAAAGAATTTAGTTTAACAGCAGTTTAGCTGCCATGACTCAATGCTATGGAATCATGAGAAATATAGGTCTTCAGTCTTCTCTGCCAAAAGAGTGCAAGTACCCAGTGCTGAATTTACCATTGTGATTGGGTGTGCTTCAGAATCTTCCTGCCAACCTTTTTTTTACAATGGATTTTGCTTATGTGGTGCAATTCTAAATGTGTGGGCATTGTGTTTGGGAACTATTCCAGACATAATGATAGAGTTGATAGTCTATGGGAGTGTGCCACAAAGCAGGCAAGTTGACCTACCAGACTTATCACTTTCAGGGTGCAAATAAGAGCCTCAGAATTTAACTAGCATAGAACTCCATTTGTCCTAAATCTAGCATTGCAACTACTTCGCCAACTACAATATCCAGGCTTCCATCACATCGAGTCATGGAAGTTAAAGTGGTGTCAAACTAAATAAATTCTGCAGTATAGATTCTCTCCAAACTGCTATAAGATTGACTTCCTTCCCTTAAAAAAGGAAGAAAAAAGAATCAAAAATCAAGTTTTAATGGTTTTATGCACTTCCATGCAAGTAAATACAAAAGGAACATATTTATTTATTAATTATTTATTTACTACATTTGTATTCCGCCTTTCTCAACCAGAGGTGACTCAAGGCAGTTTAGAGTCGGCAGCGATTTGATGCAATAGCAATTATAAAAATACAGTTAAAAGAGTTATTAAAAACAATTAAAACATTAAAATGTTATATAAAAAACAATAGAATCTGTAAAAACAAAATCTTCGGCGTCTCCTTACTAAAATCATTGTCCAATTGCATTGACGGTCATTCCATACATTCATTTCATCTAATTATCATCATCATCTTCATCATCATCATCATCATCATTTAATTACTTATTAATCGCCCTCCATCTGAGAATGCTCCAGGCGATTTACAGCTAAATTGTAAAAGATAAAATACATACATACAAAAATTAAAAATTAACAGGGATCGGATGCTTTAGTAAAAAGCCAGGTCTTAAGTGTTAGAGTAAAAGACCCTAAGTCACGCATAGCTCTCATGTCGGGTGGAAAAGAATTCTGGAATGTCAGAAGGGAGGGAGCCGATCTTATATCCCTGGGAAGGGCATTCCACAGCCGAGGGACTACCACTGAGAAGGTCCTATCTCTCGTCCCCACCAAACGTATCTGCGAGGAAGGTGGGATCAAGAGCAGGGCCTCCCCAAAGAATCTTAAGGTCCTAGATGGTTCATAAAGAGAGAAACATTCAGATAGGTAAGCTAGACCAGAACCGTTTAGGGCAGTGATTCTCAACCTGGGGTCCCCAGATATTTTTGGCCTACAACTCCCAGAAATCCTAACAGCTAATAAACTGGCTGAGATTTCTGGGAGTTGTAGGCCAACAACATCTGGAGACCCCAGGTTGAGAACCACTGGGCTAGGGCTTTATAGGCTAAAGCCAGCACTTTGAATTGTGCCTAGTAGCAAACTAGCAGCCAGTGGAGCTGGCGCAACAGAGGAGTCGTGCGCTCCCTGAGCATTGCTCCTGTTAGCAACCTGGCTGCTGCACATTGGACATAGCCATAAGGAGTTTGTGTAAATGTAAAAGAATAGACTTAGGTATTTATTTATTATTATAGCTATATGTCTCCAATATATTCCATATCCTGGGCGATTCTATGTAGATCGATAATGCGGGAACAACAGGATGTCACAAGTGGGACTCCCTGAGCCACCACAGTAGTGCATGGCTGGGCACTGTGTGTGTATGGGACACAATGTTGTGGCTATCACTAAAGATCCCTCCTCCCACATCACAGATTTGTTCAGAAGATATTAATAATTACCTTCTACTGAGGCTGGAATGATGTGCCTTGTTCAGGGTCACACACTGAATTTAATGCCCAAGTGGGGATTTGAACCCTGGCAATGGTACCTCTATCCTATTCAGTTTACGTATCAGAGCCATTTGAACAGCTTCATTTTCACATGGCTGCTTGACTACAGTACACAGCCTGAGAAAAATCAAAATAACATTTGGAATGGAAAAGCCTGTCATCTTGTTTGTCCTCTAGCAGGCCTACTCTACTAACTACTTTGGAAAGGCAGAAAGTATTTCACTATAGAAAACTTCACTGTAGAAACTTAAGATATGTAGCTAGCTCCTGACGAATTGTAAGTTTGCAGTCTGTTATCATTGACAACTGAGAAGACACCAAGCCTACAAGGAGGAACATTTACTGTGTGAACATTACTGAAGATTAGCATTTAGTCTGATCAAGTATAATCTGTATTTCAGAAGTGAACTAGTAGTATAGCTGGTATTCAATTTTATGTGAAAGTAATATGCAGGCACAAT